GTGGCTGGTCCTGGAACTCAGCTTAGTCCAGCCCACTGGCAGTTATTAATGTATTCTGGAGTAAGATATCCATGTGTCTCAGTGTATATGTGTAAATGGGTGCACGAATTTCAAGGATGGTTACACCTGGAGACCCAGGCAGTTTTGCTGTGGGACCTCACCTGAGCACAGTATAGAAGAAAGGGATCCTCTCTCTTGCCTCATAGGAACTGTTATTGAGAAGTGACTTTATCAAATATCTCCTCCAAGGCTGGATTATAGCTGCATGTGTGTGCGATGCTTGCACTTGGCATGCAATATCTTATACATTAGCAGAGACACCTATGGTGTCAGCAGATTTCTAGTCTACCAAGAGCAGGGTAGTGGTGCACTCCAGGCCAGCTGGGGCTGTTGCAGTAGCCAGTGACACCGTTCTACTTCTACCCACATAGGGTAGAACATTGGCAGTGTTGGCATTGTCAGCAGTGGGGGTGGCATCCTAACCTTTAAGAAGCCAGGTGGAGGTGTTAGGCCCAGGAGGCTGGGTATGGTGGCTTTACAATCTGTGTGGGTGAGCAATGCTCAGGACAGTGTACAACATGGGCAAGTGTGAGCGCTCACTGGATCATTAGAACTCCTTAGAGATGGAGGTCTTGGAGGACTGGACCCCCTGCAGCCAGGTAGAGGGGTGCTCCAAGCACCCGGATGTGGGATGACGCTGGAACTATGAAATAACCATGGAAGAAGAAGAAGACATTGTGATTAAACTAGATGACTTAAGAATATCCTGGCTAATTTTTATTTGTATATTGTTTTATTATGTTTTGCTTCCCATGTCTTGCCATTCCAATCCATTTTAAGCACAGTTATAAAGACAGGCTACGTAAAGCACAATTCTCTAGCCAAGTTACTAATACTTCTCAATTCCTGGCTCCACGTCATAGAAACAAACAATAGCAACAACCAAATCTCACTGTCTATACTCTGTCTAGCCTCCTCAGCCTTCCATCTGCAAGCCTCTGTGAGAGGGTAGTCCAGGTGACTTCCCATTAGTCTCCTTCCCTAATAGATCCAGGTAAGCAAATTGCTGACTGTTGCTCTAATGTGTTCTGGGCTCCCTTGGCCTTGGGACTGTGCTCTGTTGTTCACTTTCTTGCATTTTTTACTTCCCCAATCCAGCCAGTCCTTCAGGGCCCACATCTAACACACACCTTTCATGAAGCCTTTCCCACACTGCCCAGTTAGACGTAATCGCTTCCTCCTCTCCGTTCCTGTAGCTCCTTATGTTCTTTGTGACATTTTATCACTTTCCATCTTGTGCTCTTATAATTTGTATGCATGGCTCATCTCCACTTATTAAGTGCAAACCCCCTACAGGCTGGGGCTTGGCTTTATATAACTTTGCTTTTCCCAGCAGGCCCAGCCTGGGGTTAGGGGAAATATTTGTTCAATAAAAGAATGAATAAAAGCCAGAAGAAGGAACTTTCTATTTTCCTGCTCCTCACCACTGCCTCAGAGAGAGCTAGGTGAGGTGTTTTGGGGTGAGAGAGAGGCGAGGAGTAAGCGAGCTACCATATTTATAGGTGACTAATGCTTTCCAAAGGAAATGAAAGATTTGCAGTTGTTACTACTTCGCAAATCTTTATTTTCCCACTTAGGGGCCAGCCCTCCAATTTTGCAATCTGAAAAATAATGAAAAGCCAGTGCCACATGTGAGGCAGTCCCCATGGTCTTGATGGCTATTTTTAGGTCATTGTAATGTGGTTTCAGCTGTGAAATGCTTCTCCAGCTCAGTTATGGCTGTTTTTCCGACTCATGTTTGTTTCTCATGCACTCTTTGGCCCGGGCCCATGTTCTTTACTGCTCTGTCGTTTCCCTATTTGACCATCCAAACTGGCACATCTAAGAGCTAACCCATAGCCACTTCCCTCAAATGTCTCCATGGATAGCCACAGTTTGTAGAACTTGTTGATGGCCATCTGTGGCCGTATCCACAGTCTGTGGAACTAGTTGATGGCCATCTGTGGCCATGCAGGCCCATGGCCCCCAGATCATTGTGTAAGGGTGGAGACAGCAGGCAGCAAAGAGTCTTGGCTCCCTAACCAGGACACCAACAGAGGTAGGGGAGTTCCGGTCGGTGAAACAGCATAAAATGCCCTCATACAGGTGTATTTGCTTCATTCTAGCAAAAATGAGGCCTGATGGACCCCATGCTGATTTAGTCATTCATTAATGATAAGGCGGTTCAAATTCCAAACCACTTCAGCTCGCCATGGGGGTCTGCACAGTCACATTCTGGCTGGGGGCAGATCCCCTTCCCTTCCCTCCACTTGCTCCATTACAGAACTTGGAACAACAACATCTTGAAAGCTTTTAGATTGTAGAGACTGGGTTAAGCTTTTTTGCATGCCCACCCCTCCAGCATTTAGCAAAAAGTATTTTGCACATACAGGGAGTTGAACTAATACCGGCCATATGAATAAGATGGAAAGAAAATAAGATTTGCAAATAGGAAACCTGGGTTTTAGTGCCAGCTTTGATTTTCCCAGCCATATGACCTTGGGCATGTCATTTAACTCACTGAGCCTTCAGGGCTCCAATGCTGGATGATCTCCAAGTCGCCTTCCACCACCTGCCCCTCTGATTCTGTCTGCATTCTGATTGATACTGTCATCAGTTGGTTAACATCAGTTCTCCTGAATTACCACAAATGCCACCAACTTCATCTCCCTGTCTCATTCCTCTTTAATTTCCACACTTCAGCCAGAATCAGCTGTCTAATCACCTTTCTTATGTAAGCCACATCATTCACTTCTCTGCTTAAAACTTTTCCGCCGAAAAGCCCTCAGTTTAAAAGTCGAAACTCACTGATGTGAATCCATGATCTAGCTTTTCCCTGTCCTTCAATTCAGTCACACTCTCAGCTCCTCCAGCTCTTCGCAGATGCTGTTCCCTCTGCCCAAAGGTCTTTTCCATGTCTCTTTCGAGTTATTCCTACTCATTCTTTGGGTCTCAGCTTAGACATCACTTCCCTTAAGAAGCCAGCCTTCAACATCCCTCCCGGGAACCCAGAGCACCCTATGCTCATAGTCACATCACCCTGTCTTCTCTTGTTTTGTAACTTTCCCCTCTCCCAGACAGTCCCTAAAGGCAGCATGATGACTTGTATATCACTGTATCTTTGCACAGTGCCTGGCACTGAGGAATAATTGAACGAAGATATGATGCACCACACCTGACCCGCATCTTGTCACACCTCCTTTTCCCCAGCCCCCAATCCCTGCATTGTTGGAACACATGCCCCGGCACTGACAAGCCAAGCCCTCTTGACGACTCCTTCTCGTCTTTACAGCAACTACAATTTCCCCCCAAAATGCCAGTGGCCTTAGGTGCTATTTTACCCTCTAGGTCTCAGAGGAGGAAAAGAGTGAGGGTCAGATACGAGGATTGATGATCAACTTCCAAGTCCTCAGGCAGAAAAGGTTAATATGTCAAGAGCCCTATCTTATATATGAACTCCAAAAGTTACTCTTGGCAAGAAAAGGTAAATCAGATTAAAGTCCACCAAAAAAACAGAGTATGGAAATTCATGTGCGTAATCACCCAAATACCACCCTGCCTGTCCTCAACACATACACCAGAAAGAAATATCTTTATGGATACATACTCTTACCCATCCCGGGTCCCAGGTATCCTATCTTTAGGGATTTGTTTCTTTGGGTTGAGCCAGAAATGGTAAATACATGGGATATATCCTGCCGCTCCCCATTCTCATGCTATTGGCAGATATTGCTAAATGATAACACAGCTCTTTTTTTGCCAGGATCCTTCTCAACACAGTGCTCCAGACATCAACTACCAATAGGTCCCCGACTTAAGCCTTATTCTCTAAAGGGTCCTTTGTTAAACTGCAAAGACCTTAGGCTGAAGAGGATAGATCACTGAAGCTTGGGGTAGATTTATCAAGCAAGTGCTTTCTTCAAGACAGGAGAAACAAAAAAGACTTTGGACCCTCAGGAAAGGAGGGATGCAGAAGGGTGGGAGGAGCAGACTCTACAAAAGGGAAGGAAAGGTGAGGGAGGAACCATCATCTGAGTTCTGGACACAAAGGTTACTCAATCTTAGACAAAGGCTGCTAGGCATCCCTGTGGGATGTGTTCTCTTGCTGGCTTCCGTCTCTGACAGAGCACTATGCTGAATTAAACTCCCCCAAAGGGAGCTTACCCAGATGTCAGGTAGGAACAGTTTACGTGAGTCTAGACTAGAGAAGAAACATCATGATTAGCTTCCAATCTTCAGGATTGATGTTTGGCATGCCCCTTTCAGTAACGCAAAAGCAGGGGTGTAGATGAGAAGGCTATAGAATGCAAAGGGGGTTTTCCAGTCACTGGGTGATAGGCTAAGCACTTTCTCTTGATTACAGACCATTGGGCAGCATTTCTGAGAATTAGTGTTGCCAGGTGGTTGAATGACGAAACCTAGGCCAGCTACTTAAATTATCTCCCATGCCTCCAGCTCGGCTGTTCTGCAGGCCCCTAGGCAATTGCCCAAATGCCCGCCAGGAGCTCTAGTGCCAGATGTTGATGCAAATAAGCCCATAATGATACAGGCAACAGGAATGGACCAAACCTAGTATGCTCAATCTGTCAAATGCCTTTTTGGATGAAATATATTTAGATGCTTCGGGTCATTCAGCCATTCAAACATTTTAATTGCAAATGGAACCAAAGATCAACATTTTCCTGGGGAAAATAACATGTGTAGCTTTGCAATGACTAAGTCTTCATGAGATGGAGAGGAACTCGTGACCAGCATGCATACCTGTGTATTCTTGTGTGTATGATGTTTCCATGAGTATCAAAATCAAACAATAAAAGAATTCTTATCTGGAAATTTAAAGATGGTTAAATCCCCAATAACCCAAGATAAAGACACTCTAACAGAACAGAACACATCTTCTGTAATATCCTTTAGAGTCTTGAATGACAGGTCTAAGTTGATTTTCTCTACTCAATTCTTACCTGCCCATGTATGCAAAGCTGGCAACAGTCAACACGGTGAGTCCTGTCTTCTTTGATGGATAGCGATGTGGCCTGAGGATGACTTCGGCCAATGAGATGGGCAATATGGATGTATGCTGTAGGAGAAAAAGTGACAAATCATAACGTCAGGGTGCCCTGGCTGCCTACAGTGCCCCTAATTCTCTCTCCCCCTCCAATCCACCTTCTTATACAACTTCCAGATGAAACTTTCCAAAACTTGGCTTAGATCATGCTCCTTAGTTGCCCAAGGAGCTGCAGTGGCTCCCTATTGCCGAACATACTGGTCCAAACTTCTTTGTCTGGCTGCCAAGGCTCTTGCAATGTGCTGCCATCCTCTCTGGTCCTGCTTATTGCCCACTGCTCCCCTCCCCTAACACACACACGCATACACACACATGCACACTGTACACACCCTCACTCAGACACACACTACTCCACTAGAACAAGACTGTTTCCTTCATTCTCCTTTGTGCTCAGTGTGCTTGCTCCCACCCTCATGCTTTTGTTCATGCCTCAACTCTCTATGCGGCATGTGTCTTCTCTCCCTCTATTCATGTCGTCCATGGTCTTCATAGCCAACACAATCTTCCATGATTCTGTCTCTGAATTTTCCTCTTGCTAATTTCTCTCACTCAATTCTACTGCATTTATCTTCTGTGCCATGTAGTCTAGCACTTACGATGTGTGTTCCTAAGCTCAGGGGAGCCAGACAACACATCATAGCCTGTCTCTGCATTCCCCATTGCACTTGGCACCGCGTAACTGTCCTGTGAGCGGGTGGTAGGTGCTGTGGGGTATGTGTGAGCCTCCTCTTGAAACCCTCCAGGACCCCCCTTTCCTTCCCTGGTTCACCCTTCCTTCAGAACCATCTGTCTTCTCACATCTTTCAAACCCTTAACACCAGATTATTTTAAGTGACATAATCAAGGATATATGCCTTTCAGAATAGTGGTGTTTTCAGGTGCAGGGGTACTGAGGTCTACACCTCTCTTGGTTATGGGAACTGACCTGGGAAAGGTGACTTGAGTCTGTGTACAATGTTCTCTCATTTATTAAGTACGTTTATTAAGCCCCTCTGCCATACTCTGCACTTATTGGTAATTTCTAATAGGGTCCATGTTTTATATTTTCTACATTTACAGCTATCACTTCTCTTTCATCCCTGCTCCCCAATTTCCTTGGCTCCTGGCAGCCTCTTGCACCCATAGCCCCCACCTGTGAGCTCCATCCCATCTCATTCCTGAGACCCAAGGCAGCTGTGTCAGCTCCGCAACTACAGTAGTCATTGGGCTCAGGAATGTCCCAGTGCCCGGGTCGCCATGCTCCCGTGCCCAGCTATGCTGCTGGAGCCTGGGTGCTGGTTCTGGGTGGCCTTTGGGGTCAGTCATGTCAGTCTTGTGCTCAGAGGCATCCCCGGGAGGCGGTAGCTTCCTCCCATCCTACCTGAGCTAGCTGGGTACAGTCAGGCGATTAAGACCTCAGATGACAAGAAACGTGACAAACTTTTGGGGGGCAGGGGTAGGAGGAGAAGGAACAAGTCTTAAGTTTAGGGCATTACGGGGCAGAGAGGGCCTCCTGGGGCCCTGTCTAGGCTGCAGGTGGGTGGCACGGAGCAATTAGGCCTCTTAAAGGCCCCAGGTACCCACATTTTAGTAGCAATGCCTAGAAGAACAGCATTCTGGACAAACCATAGCTTTTATACACTTTGTCCAAGGTTGGTCCTGAACATAGTGACTGGTTGGATATGCAAATGGAGAAATTTCTAGGCCTACTTTCATGCCCTCCTCTTTCTTTGGTATGACACTGGCTACAGTTTCGGCGTCTCTCCCTGCAATAAAAGAGCATGGTGCTTAAGGGCACACACTTTCAAATCTGACCCTGGACTTCAGTTTCCTGAGTCATGAAATGGGACAACAAATAGCACACAAGTCATGGAGGTGCTGCTCTGAGGACTGGGATAAGTACACGTAAAGGGCTCAGTCCTTGACCCATGAGAGTGTCCAGTGAGCATTAGCTGTGACTATCACTATTATCATTGTGATTGCCGTCCTTCATCTCACTGGTGGCCCAATGTGAAGAGGTGTGAGGCAAAATTCTGGGATGTCCACAGCACCAAGTGCTCAGATGCACCCTGACCTGTGGCCTGTAGGAGGCTGTGGCATGCAAGCAGCTGGAGTGTGGTAGCAGAGCTGTCCCCGTGGCCACCCGTGGCTCCCTCCCCAGCCCACAGCTGGTGCCTATGCTCTCAGCCATGGCTGCCTCAGGGCCCTGGCAAAGCTCCGTGACTGACGTTGACGCTCTTTTCACCCAGAGACCACCTCAGGAGGCCAGAGATGGGGCTGTCTACCCAGCAAAGCCGCCTGCCTCTCCACTTGCCTTCACTCTGCCATAGCCAGGAAGATCCAACTTCTATTAGGAACCATTAACAGTCCCATTATACTGGCCATTGATCTGACAGATTTTATTAACCCTGCTCACAGTCAGCAGCTTCTGTTCTCTACATTAATGATCACTTGGAACAGAATTCCTGTGGAATAATGTAGTGTGTTTGCATTAGGAGCAAATGAGTTCACAGTGATTAATGCTTTTACAACAAATAACTCAGGAATGCATGACTGGTCACCTCTTCTAGGAGTCTGCCCTTTGCAAGTGACATTCATTGGATTTCCAAATGAATTCTCCCTGATGGCTTCTGGGAAGTTTACTTCAGTGATGTCATTAGTGATGGGCCACGTACTGTGGCTTAATACAAGCTAAAAGGTCTTCAAAAGAATCACATTTTTTGGTGAGGGCTGGGGGTAGGAATGAGGAAAGGAGGAAGACCACATTCTGTGAGCTTTCTAAATACTGAGCTACTGTGAAGAGCCAAGCGTGGCGCAGTAAACCGCCTGGTATTTCAAACAAACTGAGATTTCACCTCATGTTGGTATAAGTTACATAACCTTTGTCAGGCAGTGCATATTTTTTTCTTTAAAAAAAAGGAAAAAAAAATCAGTACGAGTAAAATCAAATATGCTTTCTGCTTCCAAAAAATCTAATAATTAGGCTGGGATTGACACAAATTAGAATGCTGCCAAAAATTACTGAAAACAGTGACTCATTCTGTATTTCAATTAACAGTTTCTCAGTTTCCCTTATAAACAGGGAAGCTGACAAAAATTAATTATGTCAGAGGGGGTAAAATATTTGCTTCCTTAGTAAACAAAACATCGTGGGCCGAAACAATAGTAGCTGTAAAGAGAGGGGATGCAATCAAGCTATCTTTCCTTGTCAATGAAGCCATCATTTTGGTAGATTTTCCTTCAAATATGTCAGTCCAAAAGCATTGGTTAAAAGGATAGTGTTGTTCTTTTCCCATCCTTTTCTGCTAAATTACATCTTTTCTTCCCGTCCTTGGTGTGACGCCTATTTCCATCTGAAAATTTTGGAGACAGAATTATAAGCATGAGATATTGATTTAAGTATTAGCAGAATAATTGCACTTTAGATTCCCTGGTTGAAAAATAGGCTTGTAGATAAGTACTAAAATTTACCAGCCCGTGGAGCATTCTTACAAGGTTACATGAGTGGCAACACGGGAGATAATGAGAACTTATTTTTACTCACCTCATGCTAGTAGATGAGTAGCTGTTATCAACAGCTTCCCTGTGTATGAGGTTAAACTCACAAGGGACGCATTTGCCTGACTCTTGCAAAAGAGGGAAGCCTTCATCCCTGAGGTAATATGGAGCTGACAGTTCTTCATCATTGTCATGGGAGAGCCAAAGACTGAATCCATAAAGCTAGGATGGTCATGCTCTTACTTCCAAGATTCTTGGGGGGCTAAGGGCACTGCATTTCTTCCAGTGAAAGAAGTTCAGGGAGCCTCCACATTTTAAAAATCAGATAATAACATTTTAAAATGTGATCTTTGCCTCTTTCTTTTATTTCATTTCCTTGTTGGACTAGCTCTTGTGTGGAGTTGGATTGACCAAGATAAACAAGCCAGCTTCTACCTTCTCTGACTGGTCTTTGAGAGACATTCTCCTGCATATGTTGTTACTAATTAACGAGCTCACATAATACTCCCCACTTCGTGTTTGCCTCAGTCTTCTCCTCTCTTCTTCTGCTCAGGCAACACTTGGATCTAAGAATTAATTCCTTACATTGGCTTTTCCCAAACTGAGGTCTTTTCCCCCAAGTCTCTAGATAATGTCTTTGGTCTGTTCGTGGTGCTAATGGATAGATATTTTAAATGAAGTTTTATTGCACTGACAAGATCTCATTTCTGGGTACATTAAGGAGGATATTTTTGTTTACTATATATCATATATATTACTTTTTAAATTATTTTAAAAAATGGAAGCCTTCACAAAATCTCCTCATGGGCAAACACACGGTCAAAACATCAATTAAAACTTAAGCATAAATACAACAGATGTGAAAATAGAGGCAAAACAACCCTAATAGAGTGCCATTATACCCAGGCTTGTTATTACACTGCTGGATCATGTTCCTTAAGATTAAAAACTACATGCAGTAAAAACACGCAGTAATAGTTGTTTTGTAAATCCTAGTAAAGCAATCTCTGGTTTTGATAATACCATCCATTTGCCAGCTAAAAGCTTTTCCCTCGCTCTTCCCCACCTTCCCCGACTGCCATTTCTGTCTCTAACTCCTACAGGTTAGGACCATGGTGATGGTCTTTCTGGGAATATTTTGTATCCAAAAGCAGAGACCATCTGTTTTCTCTGTGGCCCCTAAGTTGTTAAAAGTGCAATTTTGCATTAAGTCAATCTGATACATGGAAATCCAGAAATGTAGACAGAGGTTATATTGCTCATATCTCTAGGCGACAAAATTTTTTTTTTTTAAATGCTTCCACCTACACTACCTGCAGGAGCCTTTTCAGTCTTAAATACTAGAGTTTAGGAGATAATTGGATTTGTAAAAATTCCCTTTTCCACTTTCTAGGAACTCAAGTGCACATGCTAGTCACCACTGTAATTAAAGAGTCAACGTTCAAATGCCTGGGGAGGAGGAATTGGAAAGATAAACCACCTCCAGAAAGAGCCACAGGCTTCTCTTTGATCTCCACTCTCTACCTAGGTGGGCT